TTCACCGGTGGGGAAACTGAGGCCAGGAAGGGCGAGTGACGTGTTCAAGGTCACAAACAGCTGGAAGCAGCAGGAGCAGGGCTGATCCCAGAAACCTCCAGTTTTTACCAAGCCTGTGCCCACTTTCCTCCCCAGCTGGAGGCTGGGGGGACAGCACAGGAAGTGAAAACCCTTTGAGTCAGCCTCCTTGTGGGCTTCAGCTTTTGTTTCCGCCCCTCCTTAGGCCGGCCTTCCAACCTCTTTTCCTGGGTCTGTGTGTCATTCCGAGCCACTGGCCCAGCTGCTGGGATGCGGGGTGGGGGGTGGGGTGGGCTGGAAGCCGCCCCTCCCCCGCGCGGCCAGCTAAGAGTTCTTGTCAGTCACGTGCTCCCAGTGGCGGCTCCTCTGGAATGCCAGTAGAACCACATCTGGCCGAGACCGCCGCAGCTGCTGCTGCTGCTGCCTCCCCGTCTTAGCCACCAGCTTCCCACGTGTGCCTGATTTGTTAAGATGGTGGTGGAGGCCCCACATCACAGCCACGCGTCGCCCTCTGGAGTCCTTTCCTCTCCCCGCGTGTGTCGTGTCAACCTCCCAGCCACCCCTCCCTGGCTCTGAAGCCTTGGGCAGGGGGAGAGGGAAGGCTGCTGTTTCTCCCTGCCTGCTTCCTGTCCCGGCTTTTCCTCCCCAGCCTGTCTCCAGGGAGAGGCTCTAGCCAAGCTGACTAGGACAGCCTGGGCTGTGCTGGGAACTTGGCTCCTAGGAGCCCCTGGCCTGGGAGGTACAGATACGGATGCAACAGGGAAAAGGGGTCTGGCTGGGCAGAGGGGGAGTGGGGGACCAGGAATGAGTGCTGCTTGCATCCATCTGTCCATCCATCCATCCATCCATCCATCCATCCATCCATCTTTTTTTTGTGTGTGTGTGGAACCAAGGATTGAACTCAGATCCTTGCCTTTGCCAGGGAAGCGCTTATTCCACCAAGCCATCTCCCTGGCCCATTCATCCACCTTCCATTCAACAAAACGGCCCCATAAGTAACCTCACTCAGACCTGGCCAAATGCCTGGCAGGGTTTAGGAGCAGAGAATATGGTGGTGATGGAGGCAAAGCCTGGTGGGGAGGTCCCAGTTTGACACCCGGCTCTTCCTCCTTTCCCAGCAAGGTGAGGGATCTCACCACATGTTTCTTTTTTCCTTCATTCAGCTGGGGCCCAGGGTTCCAGCGGATCCTGGTGTGGTGGCCTCCCTGTGTGGTCTGGTATGACAGGGCTGGAACGCGTTAGCCAGGCTGCCTGGAGAGACCAGTAGGGGCCCCCAAGGCAGACATCTCAAACCCCTACAGTCCCAGGCAGGAAAACAGGTGAAGTGGATGCTGAGGCATGGGGAGAAGATGACATTTGAGACAAGCCCAGGAGAAGGGATGGGATTACTGGAGACAGAGGAGGGAGGAAAAGGGAAAGGAGGGACTTAAGCAGCGAATCCTTTCCCTGTCTGCAAAATGGGTATTTCAACCCATTTTAATCCTTGGTGGGTATATGTGAAATATTTTATACATGTGTGGACAGGTACCTAACTTGGCAAACACCTCCTGAGGTAACAGTGATCTGCCCTCCTCTCCCTTCTGTTATCCAGCACTCCAAGGGAGAAGTCAGAAGGACTGAGTGGGTGGGTCAGGGTGGTCTGCTGGGAGCTCACCTCATGCCCCAAAGGTGGTCTCTTTATGGTGACCCCAGCCCTTCTACTCCAGCTCACATCTCAGATGTCACCGGGGATCCCTTTGGCCTGAGAGGGCCCAGGAGTTGGAATCAGCCAGACATGAGTTGGCTGATGCCAAGCTCTACCTTCTTTCAGCAGTGCTGACTTTGGGCATTGGTCTAAGAGCCCGGAAGCTATAAAGGCTCCCCTGGCCCTTGCGCCCCTCTAGGTGGGAGGCTGCACTTGCCTTGCTACTGTGAAGATGTTGCTGCTTCCCCTGCCTAGAACACCCTTCCGCCTAGCCCAAAACTTAACTGGGTGGGCAGGGCCAGGCAGGATAGGATGGGGAAGTGGATGCTGAAACCACAGGCGTGGTTGATCAGGTTTTGGTGACGCTGAGGTGCTCCCTCAGCCTGAGCTGAATTGCAGCAGATATTGGGTGTCTGCTGCTAGAAAGACATTGCCGGTCTGGCCCTTCACCCCCCAACCCCCAGCAGCTGCAGTGCAGAGGTTTTCTGCTCTGTCAACACTGGCACCCGCTGAGCCAGGCTTTTCTTGCCACCACTGCGGGGAGGGATGTCTTCAGGGCAGTGGGCTCTGTAGTCCATACCACTAGCTGCTTTGCACACCCTGGGGACAGGTGAGCCTGCTTCGCGAATGACAGGCTCATGAAAGCACTCTTTTAAGCTGGTCTTGGGGAGCATCCCAGGAAGCATGGTGAAGGGTCAGGTGCAGAACTCAGGGTGCAAGGAGTGTGGGGGAGGTGGGAGCACTGGATTGTGTGTTTCCACGAACCTGGTTGTGTCAGACCAGCTGTCCCACCCAGACCTGCTGAGTCAGGGTCTTCAAGGGACAAGACTGCCGATGACATTCAAGGCTCACACTTGCTGCTTTACAGCCGGGCCAGGTGTTCATCCCAGCTCTCTGGGTGCTATCTACAAGGCCTTAGGCAAGCTGCTTCACTTCTCTGAATTCCAGCTCACTCATCTGCAAAATGGTTTTGGATAAAAATCTTTTTACTTGAGAGGGTTAATAATTCATGCTAGGGGGCTGAGGAGATGGCTCAGGGGCATAAGTGCCCCTGCCTGGCAAGCACAAGGTCCCAAGTTCAGGCCCTAGTACTCCCCCACAAAAAAATTAATGCTAAAGCAGATGGAGTGCGCCGATGCCTGTACCGTGGACCACATCGGCCAACTGACATTTGCTCTGGACTATCTGGAGGTCCAAAGACGTGGGCTCACTTCACCTTGTGTTGATGTGGGCAGGTGATTTTTCCTCTCTGGGCCTCCTTTTCTCCAGCTGCCCAGTGAGTCTGCTGACCTCTCCCCAGAGGGGAGGTTTTGCTCCGCCACAGCCCCAGGGCCATCTGGAGTGTGCGTGTGTCATTCCTCACCCTTGCTGCCCCTGCGGTAAGACACAGACACGAGATTATCCCAGAAGCCAGGCTGCGTCTGCGGTGCCACGCTCCCCTCGGAGCAGCATGGCCAGGAGAGATGATTCAGCTGGGGACCTGTCAGCCTGCACCTCCCCCAGGGAAGCCCCAGATGCCCCATGCCACCAGGCTGGGGTCAGAACCAGCCTGGGTGGGAACTTCTCCATGCTTGGCATCCCTGACCCCCATTGGGTCTGTTCTTGGCAAGAGGTGGTGGTGGTGGAGGGTATACTCTGCCTTGCTCCTGACATCCTGGGTGACCTTGGGGAAACGTCTTGCACACTCTGAGCCTCAGGTCCCCTCTGCATAGCAGAAGCATGCAGGAGAGGATCCCACCCTGCCCTCCTCCCAGCATCCGCCTGTGCTAGCGGTAGTCACAGCCCCTCCGGCCTCTGGGGTTGGGACAGGCTGGGCAGCTATGTGGGCTAACGAGGAGGTGACAAAGACTGAAGTGAACGGGAAGGGTGTGCGTCCCCTGGGAGCCCTGTGAGGCAGTCTAGTGTGGGAGAGAAGAGGAATTTTCCTGTGTGTGCAAACAGTATCCGTTTTCTCTTGTTTCCAAAAGCTGGTGACGTAACCCACTCTTCGTCCACCCCTCCCCTCTGGCCTATTTTTAGCCAGCCTCACAGCATCCTAAAAGGCTTCCAGACTGCCTCGCTTTTCGGCCATGTGGAGAGGGCAGCCTAGGGTGAGGAAAGACAGAAGCTCAGCTCTCTGTCCCAGGACAGAGGGAGGGAAGGAAGCTGTCCCACCTCCTCCACAGACACAGACGGAGCAGAGGGTAGGGCACTAGGGTGGGCCTTCAGGCTTTGAAGGCGCAGGTCTTGGGAAGCCTGCAGAGGGACCCCCAGCAGTCAGTCTGTAACCTCCCCCAGGCCTGGGTCCCTGTGCCCCTTGCCCTCCCCCTGCCTGGGGCATGTGACTCTGAGCCTTGATCTCCATACATGGGGATGGTGACAGAGCCTAGGCCCTGGGGCTACCGAAGGACTAAGCAACTTCCTGTACAATGATACTGTGGCAAAGGAGGTGTCTGAGGGGAGTGGGGGTGGAGGGCTATAATGGAGCCACTTCCCCCAGCCTTCAGTGAATACTTGGGGTCCACTGTGTGTCATACCTGTCTGCACCCCTTCATCCTTTCCTACTTGGCTTCAGTCGGTGCATGCGTGAATGAAATGACATTCAGGAGGCCCCTGGCACAGGGCCTGGCATTTGATAAATGCTAAAGAAGCAAGAACAGTATTTGTGAGGTTTTGTTTTAATGTAATGAAACAGGCCTGGGTGTGAATCCTGGCCTCACCCACTGAACAGCTGCATCT